GAGGAAGAGAGATGGATAGAGAGTTAGAAACATCGATGAGAGAGAAACATCGACCAGCTGCCTCCTGCACACCCCCTACTGGGGATGTGCCCTCAACCAATGTACATGCCCTTGACCAGAATCGAACCTGGGACCTTTCAGTCCGCAGGCCGATGCTCTATCCACTGAGCCAAACTGATTTCGACCTTCCGTTTGTTTTTTTTTGTTTGTTTTTTTAATGCTACACACCATCCCTGAAACATAGGGGTGAGTGAATGGTTGTCAAAAAAGAGAAGTTACAGTTGGCACTGTACCATCGTTGGATATAACCGTGGGAAAGATGATCATTATGGAGCTAGAAGTTAGCTAAGCTTTTCATCTCCCTTTCTTCCCTGGAGGAAGTTAACATGCAATGTTGTAATTCAATTCTCTGCTCCTCCCAACCTTTCAAGTGAGACAACTTGTCCTGTGTTTGCTTAGGCCAAAGGAGAAGTAATTCAGAAGCATGATTCTTTCATTTAAAGGACTGTCATCTCCAGTTGCAACCAGTCATGACTCCTGGATGCAATCCAAACAACTCCATTTAATCAGAATGATTTCCTTCCATAGGCATTCTCTGCTGTACCACTACCCACAAATCAATGTTCAATAAATTTCAGCCATTTTTTTCCAAATAACACTGCAATCATATTTTATAAATCCACCTATGTGTTGGTTTTTCTGAGCCACAGATAAATTAGACCTTTCTTGTTTTGTCCTAAGATAGCTGTCTAGTCATGTATTCAGAGACGTCAACCGGAAGTCTTCCTTTTAGGAAGCCAGTCACAAGTAAGAGGGGACAGTCTGGAACGAAACAGCTCCTTTTAGGAGCCACTGTGGTGACATGTGAGCACTGGGACTGATGACCCCTTTTTTTGTGAAAGAAGTCTAGGGTCCCACGAGCGGTCAACATTCAACAGCTTCCCTAAACAAAGCTTGAAGAGAGGAATCCAGTCAAGAGGAGCTCAGGTGTTTGCTGTGTTGTGTCTGAGCCCTATGTGTCAGGGGCCTATCTTCATTCTGTAGACCACCTACTCTGTTCATTGGGGAGGTCAGTATCTGTTCAAACATAGTCCCTTTTGTCTGTGCTGGGTAACAGCACAATACATTCAGCAAATGCCTTCTGAAATCCTAGATTGTTGTCTTCAACAGGGATTACAAAAACATGGATTTCTTGAGAAGTGCCTTTCCACCTGTGTTTGTTTGGATCCTAAATTGTGGGAAGATCTTGGCAGCCAGGGTATCTAGGGGATGCTCAGAGAAAAGTGGTCATGGAGACTTTTCAAAGAACAAGTTCCTCCTTTAAAGTGGTTAGCAATAGGAAAAGAACTCTTGAAAACAGCCACAGAATATTGGACTAGATGTAACCTTGAAAGATTTTATTTCTCCCTTCTATGTTAGCTTTCCATCTAAGACCAAAGACTGTAGTCTATTTTAGAAACCCTCCAAGGAAAGGAATTTCCCATAACCTTTCCCCTGTTAGCATTCTTTTAACTTCTACAAAGGCCTCCATGAGAAAAGTCTTGATCATCTATATGTTTCTAATGCTCATTGCTGCAGCTCAGACCTGATTCCTTTGCTTTCTCATCTGCTGCTCCTACCCTCCACAGAGGGCCTATCATTGCCGAAGCTCGTTATTACATCACTTTTTGGCTTCTTCATTAAGGCTAAATAATGAAAGATTTTCCCTCCTCTTTTTGTAGTTCATATTTTTTAACTCCTAATTATTTTTGCTGTTGAAAATTTGATTGGGGATTTCCTGTGTCTGGAAATGCCTTGAACTTTGTAGCCCAAACACTCATCCCATTACCTTTAAAGTACACCACGTAAAATGAGACAGAGAATGAAGAAGCTGCAAAGGAAGCAAAACTTCACAAAAGCCAAATATAAACCACCAGATAGTTATCCTTCTGGTTCATTATTAAGAAAAACATTTATAAAATAAAACATGTTTGAAAGTTGAGTGGGCATTTCATTCATTGAGGCTTGATCAACAAGTACTTGCTCAGGTTTAGATAAATACCTATAAAACTCACAATTTAAAATGCATAATGTTAAAGCTAGGCATACCAAGAACATAAGTATGACCCCACATAATATATATATAGATAGATAGATAGATAAATAGATAGATAGATAGATAGATATGATTTGAAAACAGCCTGAGTTATTGTGAAGGCAATTTGGAGGCTAACATAGAACTGTCTTGATTTTGTTACTCTTCCATGTTATCTGAGAAAAAGTTTACTAAAATACATTTTGACACTATTTATCCACTGGAACTTTAACTTCATTGGGAAAATGGTTCTGAGAGTGGTGAGAATGTTGACTAATGTTCATTCCACATGGGATTACACCACTATCTGAATCAGAGTTTCCTGTATTGCAATATATTTTCCATTTTTTTCCTGAGAAATAATCCAAAATGGCTCATTACATGGCCATTTGTTAGTCTAGGGCATTGTACTTGTTTGTGACTCCGATGAAGTCATAGTGGGCTGGGTCTGTCTGTGGACACAGCATCAACAGGAGAGCGTGCAGCTGCTCGGAGAAGCAGCCACCCAGATATTTCCACCCAAAATCCTGCTTTCCCAAAATCATAGGTTTTTCATTAATCATCCAGATTTGTTTACCTTTGATTTGCTCATTACATGCTGTACACAGACACCGCTCTGTTGAACTTATTCTTTTTTTTTGAACTTTTTATTGATGCGTAATAGTCTAAGAAAGGACATAGACCCTAACTGTGCAAGATGAACTGCCACAAACAGCACCCTGTGAGCCAGTGCCCAGACCAGGAGCCAGAGCGTGACCAGCAGCTCTCCTTGGGCCCCTTCCTGGCACTCACCCTCCTCACCTTTGGATACCGCTCTCCTGTGCTGCTTGTTTTTGTATTTCATACAAATGGAATTATACATGATACATTGTTCTGTTTGGCTTGTTCCATTCATTACATTTATGAGATTCAGGTACATGTATCATGTATTGTGTTTGTTCATTCTTACTGCTCTGCAACGTTGCATTGATCAATGCACCATCATTCATTCTTTCTGCTGTGAGCAGGCCTTTAACTAGTTTCCCTCTGGGAAGGAGGTGAAGACTATTATGAATATTCTATAGACATCCTAGTCCGTCTATTTTGGTGAAAGTACATGTACACACATACGTTGGACTTACAGACAGGAGTTGCATTGCTGGGCCATAGGGTGTGCAGATGTAGCAGGTAAGCAGTTTTTCAGAGTGGTTGTAAGTACTTATACTCACACCAGCGATGTATGAGAGTTCTAGTTGCTCTACCTCCTCACCAGTATTGGGCATTTTCTGTCTTTTTCTTCTTAGCCATTATGGTGGATGTATATTGAATGGCGTTTAATTTAAATTTCTTTGATGGTAATGAACCTGAGCACCTTTTCATATGATTATTAATAATTTGCATGTTTATGTTTGTGAACTGTCTATTCAAGCGTTTTGTCCATTTTTCTACCAGTTAACTTTCTTTTTGTTACGGTTTCATGGGAATTCTATATAATCCGGATATGGGTTTTTTGTTGCATATATGTATTGGAAACACTTTCTCCTCTTCTCCGGCTTGCCTTCTCACTCTTTCAAGGGGGTCTTTTGATAAACAAGTATTCCTAATATTTTAAAAGTCCCAATTTACTATGTTTTCTTTTATGGCTTGTTTTTTGTGTGTCCAGTTTAAGAAGTAGTTTCCTACTTCAAGTTGACAAAGCAGTTCTATGCTTTCCTCTAACACTTTCGTTTAGATTTATAATTCACATGACTTGATATCCATATATCGTATGATACAGAGATCAAAATGTTACCGACTCTTTCAAGTTGGGGACCCAAAACAACGTCTTTCTGTCCATTTCCATTCACGCTGGTGGAATGGGACTGAGGTCTATGAAGTGGAGCAGGAACTATTCTCTGATGAAGGCATGGAGGAGGGGGAGCTCACATTCTGAAGGCACCTTCGCTCTGACCGGGAAGGAGCCTCCTTGTGTACAGGCTGTTGTGTGGAGTGATTCCATTCCTTTAGGCATGCGTAGTTATTCTCCTGTTGCCCTTCGCTCTTTCGCACCTGATTCTTCTTGTGCACGATGCCCCATCGGCATCTTGGTCTTTGCACTGGGCCCTCCTCGTTTTACCATTGGGAATCCTCCTTAGTTCCTGTGAGTGAGCACAGCTCCTGACACAGGGCAGGTATTGAGAAACATTAGGGCACTTTGGATGACAGCCTAGTGACAAAGATACTTTCTCACTGGATGTCCTAACCCAACATCAGTTTACTTACTTTAAGTACAGTGTGTCCACAAAGTGTAGTTCCATTGAATTTATTTTTCCCGGAGAGAATTACTAATGATTCTCAGAAAGAAAAGAAAAAAAAAACAAAAAAACCTAAACCTAATAGTAATTCAAAACAACATAATATGTAGATTACTTCACACTAATGTAAATTGAAGTGTTTCTTAAACCTTTTCCTGTTCATTAGAATTTAGTTTGTAGCTTTAGCAATTTATTCAACTAAACTGACTGACAATGCACAAAACACAATCATTTAAAAAATAAATTATTGTTTTTACTTTTCCATTTGTATTCAGTTCAACACATGTTTACCCTGTATCTGTGAGAGTTTGGGATGGTTGGAAATTTGAAGTTTTGAGCTCCATTTTTACGTCATATAATAAAAGTGTCACACATATGACATAAGATATTTTTCTTAGTATTCAAAATTATATTAATATTATAAAGAGAGGAATAAGGTGAAAATTTTTATTACTTTTAGGATGACCTTACTCCCTTTTGTGTAAGGCCCCTGAACTAAGTCTTCCACTAGCAATGACGCAGATCTTCTAAGATATTAAAACATGGAAAGAATATAAAAGTTTCATTTCTGTATTTGGAATGCCTCTGAATCTTGCTCTTTGATGTCATTTCTGCTTCATCTTATTTGTTTTTCTTTTTCTTATTTGTTCTAGGTTGTCCTGGTCAGTGGACATCTGGACAGCTGGGACGTTGGGCAGGGTGCCATGGATGATGGTGGTGGAGCCTTTATATCATGGGAAGCACTCTCCCTTATTCAAGATCTCGGTAAATATTTAGAAAGTTGTTAACCAACATGTGAGGGTCTCTGTGGTGACATGTTTAACTCAACACACAAAATAGTCAACAGATTAGTTACTGTGGATTCTCCTGAGGTTTATATGCTTTTTGTTAGTTGACTCCAAGAGAAGAAATAATTTGTCCCCTTAGAAAAAAAATTTTTTTTAATTCAAGTGTTTGCCAGACAACCAAAGTATCCAATATGATCAGCCACTGGGGGAAATGAACAAGCAAATGAAACCCTAGCAACTGCAACCACATCAGCAAGAGACTATGTAAGGATACTGTGACGGAATGCAAAGAAACGTCACCAGCTCCCTTGACTTCCTTTTCCTTGTTCATCTTTTTTTTTTTTAATTGCATTTATTTTATTTCTATCTCTCCCCCTGCCCCCCCAACCCCCCGCCGTGTCCTTTGGCAGCTATCAGCTTGTACTCTATAGCTATGGTTCTGTTTTTTGGGTGTTTTGGTTTTCTTAGTATTCCACAAATAATATTGTATTTGTCTTTTATTGCCTGACTTATTTCATATGGCTTAATAGACTCTAGATCCAACCATGTTTGTTGTTGCAAATAACAGGAGTTAATTCTTTTTTTATGGTTGAATAATGTTCCTGTGTGTGTGTGTGTGTGTGTGTGTGTGTGTGTATGTGTGTGTGTGTGTGTGTGTACCACATTTTCTTTATCTAATCATCTATTGATGGACATCTATGTTACTTCCATATCTTGGCTACCACTAGGGCTGCAGTGAACATATAGGGATGCCTTTATTAGCATTATTGTTTTCTTTGGATAAATACCCAAAAGCCTAATTGCTGAGTCATATGGAAGGTTTTTTTTTCTTTTTTTTTTTTTTTTTTTTTTTTTTTTAGAATTTTCCATACTGTTTTTCATAGCGGCTGCATCAATTTGCAATCCCAAGGAAATTATCAGGCTGTTAGGATAACTTTGCTGCAGTTTTCAATAGTGCACAAGGGTTCCCTTTTCTCTACATTATTACCAGCACTTGTTATTTGATTTATTGATGATAGCCATCCTAACAGGTGCGATGTGATCTCTCCTTGTGGATTTAATTTGTTTTCCTGAGGATTAATAATGTTGGCCATCTTTTCATATATCTGTTGGCCATCTCTATCCTCTTAGGAGAAATGTCTATTTACTATTCTTTGTCCATTTTTAAATTGGATTTTTTGGGGGGAGTGTTAAGTTACATAAGTTCTTATATATCTTGTATATTAACCCTTATGGGATGTGTCACTTAGATTATCTTCTCCCATGCAGTAGGTTGTCTTTTTGTTTTGTTGGTCATTTCCTTTGCTATGCAAAAACCTTTTAGTTTGATAGAGTCCCATCTGTTTACTTTTTCTTTTGTGCCTTTACTCAAGGAGGCATAGCCAAAAATATATTTTTAAGAACCTTCTCAAAGAGTTTACTGCCTATGTTTTCTTCTAGTTTTATGGTTTCCAGTCTTAAATTTAACCTTTAATTTATTTTGAGTTTATTTCTGTCCATAGTGTAAGAAAAGGGTCTGGTTTTATAATTTTATTTGTACCTTCCAGTTTTCTTAATAGCACCCTTTGAAGAGACTGTCTTTACCCATTGTATATCCTTGCTTCCTTTGCTGTAGATTAATTGGCCTATAAACAAGGATTTATTTATGGGCTATCTATTCTAAACATTGATCTACATATCTGTTTTTTATTATTGTGACTTTGGGGTATAGTATATGTAACTTAGTAGTCTCAAGTAGGTAACTTTGTGGTATCAAGATTATTTGCCTGTGGTTTTATTTTTTCATAATATCTTTGGTTTTGGTGTCCAGGGTAATGTTGGCTTCATAAAATGAATCTGGAACCATTTCTTCCTCTTTAACTTTTTTAATTCTTTGCTAATTTCAAGGGAATTATCAGGATGTTAATTTTCTTTGTATGATAGAAATCAAAGAAAGAAATGTCGGGCTGAATGAATGATTCCTTTAGCCATAATAAGGAATATTAGACCTTCCAGGTAAACCTAAACATGGAAAAGATGGGCAGACATAAAAAGGAATGGCTAATGGTGAAAGCATTTTATTTTTATGACCTTATTGGTAAGCAATAAAAAAAAAAACATACTTTTTTCTCTGTGTACTGGTCCACAAGATGGATTTTGAATGAGGTTAGAAATAATAAAATAGTCTGAAGTGAGAGTTCTGTGTCTGAATTAAATGCCTTATTAGCAGAATGTTTCATATTACAACCGTGAAGAAATTCCAGTTTCAGCTGTAGTAAAGATCACTTTCTCGTAGGCTTTCCATTGCTTACTTCAGTATTTATGTCTTCAAGTTTATTCTTTTTATCCAGCCTCTAATGAGTCCCTCTAGCCCTGTAAATTGACCCATTAAATAATAGTTTATCTTAACAGTAGTCTTGCTTGAGGCAAATTTTTGGTGTATCATTTTGATTTGTGTGTGTGTGTGTGTGTTTTAAAAATGGAGAAACGGAAAGATTGCTATTCATTTATTTTTACTTCTAAAACAGACCAGCATTTCCCAACCTTGGCACTACTGGCATTTGGGGCCAGATGATTTTGTTGTGAGGTCTGTTCTGTGTGTTGTAGGATGTTTAGAGGTATCCCTGGCTTTTACCTACTAAATGCTCATAGCACCATCTTCCCCCAAATTGTGACAACCAAAAATATCTCCAGACATTGCCAAATGTCGCCTGGTGGGTTGGAGGTGAGGGAGGCATAAAATTTCCCCGAATAAAATAAACTAATAAAGAAATCTCTAGGAGACCAAATACAGGGTCATGTTTTTGGAAAGTAATCTAACTGGAAGCCTTATATTGTATATACATCTTCAACCCTACTGAGAACCTACGATGTGAATGCATTTTGTAAAACCTGGGCATAGAGAGAGATATAGAGCATATCCTCTGTCCTTTTCTTTAATTTAAATTTTATTTTTCAATTATAGGTTACATTCAATATTATTTTGAGTTGAAGATGTAAACATGTAACTACACGCGTAATTACAAATATAGATATCATTTCAAAGTCTGCTTATAGAATTGGGTACATTTTGAGAAAGATAAAGTCCAGCAAATAAAACTGGAAAACACACAGTCCTTCAGAGAAGATCTCAAAGACTCTAGATGTTATTTTTTCCCCTCCTTTCCCTTCCCTTAAAAATTATTCCCTCGGCTATTTGTTCTCTCTGCCCTGAACTTCATTCCGGAATGAAGCAGGTCCTAGAGATGAGGCAGTGAGATATCACATCTCCCTCCTTAGAAGCCACAGATGATTATTTTGGAAGTTAATTTTCTTTCAGTGTGCTCAGCCAGCTTGATTGGAATCAGAATGGTAGAGTGCAAAGAGAACCGGACCAACTTGAACTGAATTTTGGGTCACTGTGCCACAAACTACTTTATTTAGCCGTGGCCGGGCCATTTGAATCCTCTGGGCTTCATTTTCTTCATCTCTATTCAACTCTAAGCTTCTAGGGTAATTTATCTGCTTTCGATGGGAATAAAAATCATGTCTCTCTAGGCTTTCAATCTTACTTCTTTAGTACTCAGCATAGGACTCTAAATCACCGCTAATTGAGTTGGATTCTCTTGCATGGATAAATGTCACACCAGGCAAAGGTGATGTATCTCTCCCAGCTTTGAAAGTACTCTGACTTCAGTAGCTTTTGAAGGCTAGTAATCATTCCTTTAATTCAGGACTTAACTCTCTTACTGAAAAAAAACCTCTGTACACGTATGAATAAAACTCTAAAATAGAGATTACCAGTTCTTTTGAGTATGTGTTAAGATGCAGAATGCATGGTATACTGTTTAAAAAGCATACTGTGTGGGTTCAGATCCCAGCTCTGCAACTTACTACCTATGTGGCCTTAAGCAAGTTACTTTGCGCCTCAATTTTCTCATCTCTGAAATAGGGTATTAAAGTTTCCTACCCCATAGGGTTGCTTTGAAAATTAATCTATTTATGTAATGTACTTAGACCAGTACCTAACCCAACCCAAGTACTATTAAATGTTAAATGTTATTACTTAATAAGCATGACTCCATCAGTAGCCTGTTTTTATGCAAGAGAGGATGATGAATTTTGTAACCTCATTCCCATCAGTGATTACATTGTCTCCTAACTTAACATATTAGTTATACTGATGTAACTCTAGAGCCAGCTGCTATGGTAACCCTAAATATCCTTTCTCTTTACTCTTTAAGTCGCCATCTCTTGTAGGATGGAAATCTAGTGACTCCTTTACTTTTTTTTTTTCCTTTCTTGATTAAGGTATTACAAATGTGTCTTTATCCACCCTAATGTCCCACATCCTCCAATCCTGCCCTCACCCTCACCCCTGTTGTCTGTGTCCATTGCTTATGCTAATACGCATGCATACAAGTCCTTTGGTTGATCTCTTCCTCTTACCCCCACCCTCCTCTACCTTCCCTCTGAGGTTTGAGCATCTGATCGATGCTTCTCTGTCTCTGGATCTGTTTTTGTCTCCTTTACTTTTCTATGTTTTCATTCTAAATATTCAGGAATCCAGATTTATCCTGGTCACTTTTTGCTTCCACTCCCACTCAGTACCTCACCCCTGTGATTCCTCACTGAGCCTTACTCTTTCATTTAAAAATTAAAATAAGTGTGGATTTCTATTTGTAGATTACCTATGTGTTTGAATATGAAGAACGGGGTTCAGTGTGTGCCACTTAAGTTCTAGATGACAGTGACTGATAAACTTGAATAAGAAATAGGACTTTACGCTAGAGGCCAAGACATGGGTTCATAATTATATTACTTAATTACATTGAGCCCAAGCTATTTAATTGGTGAAATATGAAAGCTCCATGGAAAACTGTTTTTTCCAAGAAAATGAGACTCCTTTTGACTGCTGTTACTTGGATGGCATGTCATCCAGTACGCCTGCTGCAATCCCTCAGTGGAGCTTGTTAATTTGAAATGTTGGTGTGGTGGGGCTTTCAGATACTTGGGAAT